TGAACACATTTTCATCCAATTTCACTCATTTTATACATTTAAAATTTTAGTTTTGCCTTTATTTGTTGTTCTTTATTCTAAATTTAAATCTTTTGCTTAAAAACCAAATCCATTGCGCCCAATTGAGATGCAACCGTTATTTTGTTCTTCAGTCAATTATTGTATCTGAATTATAGAGAATTACTCGAGAATTACTCTAGAGCCTCTTGTTGTCTCTCGTCCTTGCAGAAATAATCCATCTTGAAGATGAAAACCCCCTAAAAAAGAGCATCTCTCAGTACATTATTTTTCAGAAGAGAGAGCCAGCAAACTTGAACAAGACAGAGAATGAATCCGGCTTCACTTAAGAGCTTCATTCACCCAGTCCTTGAAACCCCGGCCCTCACAAGGACTTAGAATCGATAGAAAACAAGCGTCCAAATGAGCAAAAAAAAAAAAAAAAGACCCTCCTCCATTTTTCTCCAGCTGTAGTAATTTCCTCATTCTCTTTGCCCCCTTTCGTGATCGATGAGGAAAGAATTGGGCTATGATCAACCCGTCAGTCTTCCGGGACGATCTGCGCTACGACTCCACCGCAGGTTAATTAATAGATGGCTAGGCAGGCACCGCTAGCCTAGCATCATCATCTGAGCCACAGAGAGACCGAAGGGGGGAAGGTAATATTTATCTAAATTCCAATTACCCTCATCTGAGCTGTTTGATGTTGTCGCGGGGTCAGCTCTCGGCAGGCTGAGCAAGCACTCTGCATTTCAAACACTCAAGTGTGCCGCGAGGACATCCCCGCCTGGGGAAAAGAGTACACATCTCAAGCCTGCCCTCCTGAAAGCCATTTAAGTCCAAAACTGAAGCTTTTTTTTTCTTTCTGTCTTTCTTTTTTAGGCAGGAAGAAAAGTGCACCTGATTGCATGGCAGCGCTTGGCCAGTCTGAATGCTGCTGGTATTTTTGTAGACCATCGTTCCATTTGAGAGAATGAAAGATGCACAGTTGAAATCAGAATTATTAGCCGCCCTGTATATTATTTCCTGTAATAGTTTTAATAACTAATTTCTAATATCTGATTTATTTTATCTGTCATGATAACAGTAAATAGTATTTGACTCATTTTTTAAAGACACTAGCATTCAGCTTAAAGTCCACTTTAAAGTCTTAAGTAAGTGTAACCATTTAAAAGAAATGTCTGATGGTAAATCAGACTAAACGTTATTATTTTAGGTCTGTTAGGATTACCTAAATGATTTACATTTGCTAAATGCCAGAATAATGAGAGAATTTATTTTTGATAATTTTTTATTAATTCTTAGACAGTCAAAAGTTTACATACATTTCCTTAGTATTTTTTTTTAGCTTTGTTTTAAAACTGTATAACTTTGGTCAAATGTTTTGGGTATCCTTTCGCAAGCTTCTCACAATAGTTTGCAGGAATTTTGGCCCATTTCTCCTGACAGAATTGGTGTAACTGAGTCAGATTTGTGGGCTCTCTTGCTCGCACAAGCTTTTTCAACTCTGCCCAAAAATTTTCTATTGGATTGAGGTCTGGGCTTTGTGATGGCCACTCCAAAACATTCACTCTGTTGTCTTTAAAACACATTTTAACTAATTTGGCAGTATGCTTAGGGTCATGGTCTGTTTGGAAGACCCATTTGTGGCAAAGTTTTAATTTCCTGGCTGATGTCTTGAGATGTTGCTTCAGTATTTCTACATAATGTTCTTTCTTCATGATGCCATCTATGCTGTGAAGTGGACCAGTCCTTCATGCAGCAAAACAGCCCCACCACGTGATGCTGCCGCCCCCATACTTTACAGTTTGGATGGTGTTCCTAGGCTTGTAAGCTTTCCCTTTTGTCCTCCAAATGTAACGCTGGTCATTATGGCCAAACAGTTCAATCTTAGTTCCATCAGACCACAGGACATGTCTCCAAATAATATTGTGTTTCCCAGTGTAATTTAGCAAATTGTACTCTGGCTTTGTTGTTGATTCTGGCTTGTTGATTTTCCCATGTTGTCACACAAGAAAGCAGCGTGTTTGAGGTTTTCCTTAAATACTATTCTACAGTTGTGCCTCCAATTAACTCAAATGTCAATTAGCCAATCAGAAACTTCAAAAACCTTGACACTTTCAGCTGAGCATTTTCAGGGGCATAATAATAATATTTACCTTGATGTTTTTTTTTATTATTTTTTTTTTTATTAAAAACTGCTTTTATTCTAGCAGAAATCTAACAAATAAGACTTTCTCCTGAAGAAAAAAATATTACAATAATTACTGTGAAATAGTCCTTGCTCTGTTAAACATCATTTAGAAAATATTTTGGAAAAAAAAAAAAAAAAAAGCATTTCACAGGAGGGTGTATAATTTTGACTATATCTGTCGAATTTTTGTGTCTTATGCCTGAAACTAAAATATTGCATAAAAAATTTTTAAGTTTCCATCCAAAAAGTGACAAAGAGAGCAAGATTAGCAATTCCTAAAAATCTAATACCAAATATCAAAACAAAAAACTGAATTAGCTGCAGTTGGAGAAGCTGTGTGAGTCGTCGTCTTCTTTATTAATTACTTTAACTTCAGAAGAAAATGTCGACACAATGAATGTGTGCTGGCGTTTGGAGGCATGAGACCCTCTTTAGCTCAAGACAGTTCTGGAGGTGATGAAACTGAACCACTGTTATGACAGACTTTGGCTGAGGCATTTTAGAATTCAGATGGTTTACAGTGTGGTCGGCCCACTGGTTTGTCCATCAATGGTGTCCATAACACTTATTTTTATCATCAAATGATCGCTTAAAACTATTTTATTATTTGATAAAAGTGTTTCCATCGTTGTTTATGTGCTTTTTTTCTCATTGAATAAAAAATGTGTCCTATTCTTTGTAAATGTAAAAAAAAAACACGCTGCTTTATTTGTACATCTTTTATGCAATATTTCAGTTGTGCGCATAAATTTAATTTGCATATTTGGATGGAAACATAGCTTGTGTCGCAGGGGCATGAATGAACAGTTAGTGAATGAAATAGCAGAGGTAGCTTTACACTGTTTGCATGCAGTGTAAGAATTTAACTGTAGTTGACCTTGTCAAAAAATAAAAAGTTAACCACAACGAAGAAAACTAGTGTTGAATGGTGACATAATAACATTACTCAAACTATGTACTATAACATGTAAAACTGAAACATGAAAGGAACTTTCAAAAAGCAACTCATGTAAAGACCTTAGTCATATTGATTCAGATTAAGGAAAATAATTTGATTACTGATGTCCAGGTTTAGTGTAGATTTTTAAAATAGAGTTTTGAGTTTGACATGAGTGTGTATAAACGAGTAAAAAGTGTATCCGAGACACATGCCATTATTCTTTTTGCAGTGAAGAGCTTCAGTATATTTCTGTATTGATCAGACTCCATGAGAGCATCTCAAACAACGCTGTCGCTTGAAGTTAAAGCGATCCATTAAAACCAATGCGGAGCGAGGGCACTGTGTGGCTGAAGGCTGCGAAACGCGACACTACAGCTGGTGGCGCATGAATTGACGAATCGCAGACCGAGTCCGTCATGTTTTCTCGGCCTTCTGTCCTGCTGCCCGGGGAGACGTGGGCTCTGACTTGGCCGGCGATATGTGACACCCAATATGGCAGCCTTCGACTAATTGATGCCACCTTGTCAACCCTAATTACTGCAACTGCTGCAATGAGGAGGCAGCTAATTAACAGACTAACGATGTTTGTCACTTCAGACCGACCCAGATATTTAGGAGACGGCCAAAGTCCGCTGCCAGTGCATCTGTTTCAGTTGTGTCGCACCTACGTTTTTTTTTTTGCTTTCTCTTCATTTTTGATCTCCCAAATCATACCTTTTCTGTGGGAATTTAGTTTACTTACACAGCCTCATTTCAATCTCGCATCACATTGCCGTCAGAATTGATTAGCGAAGAAGCGCACGAATAGGGAAATAGGTGAGCTCTGACTTTAAATACGGTTGTCAGCCGCTCTCTGTGTCCCCCCCTCCTCAGTCGACACTTCAAAGATGTTTTGAATTTGACATATTTAGAGCTCGCTTTTTACCCAGCAAGCTCAACTACACTAATTATCAGTGTGAGGAAACAGAGGAGTCGCTAATGATGAGGCAGCAGGGGTTCGAGTGTATGTGTGTGTGCGCGTTTGTGTTTTTAAAATGTAATTGATTTTTATCGCACATCCGATCAGATCTCGCTCATTCTGCGTTTTCTAGGTCAGCCGTATATTTCTGCATTCATGAGGAAAATGATAATACAGCATGTGTCAGTAATGATGCACTGTAAGTGATGATGCGCCGCCAACCTGAAACATCGCAAGTGCGAAAATACCTGGGTTGGAAGTCGGATTAGGGATGCGTGATATTTATCTTCTATGATATTATCATAATTGTTGTCTTGATGTGTGTGTGAGCTGACATCGAGTGTCAGAAGCTTTGCAGAAAACAAACTAAAATGCATCTTGAGAGACCAAAAACATTGACCGGGTCATGTTCCTGTGTAGGCTTTTGTTTATATGTTAGTTAGGCCTGTCACAATAATTAATAAATCAACTTAACGCAAAACAAGTGGACATGACCTCAATTTTTGGTGATGCAATTTATATCACCCATACATAAAAAACTATTTTAGCCACGTTTTAGCTGATTGTGCAACATCTCTATCTCTATTGGAGGTGTCAGTGTCAGTATGGTAAAAAGAACACTTTAGTATTTACTATAAATTACTATAGTATATTTTTATGTGGGTGCCTGATGAGTAAAAATAAATGTTATTATTCATTATTTATATAGTGTTAAATAATGAGTAAAAATAAATGTGATGAGAAAAAATTATTCTGTTAATTTTGTTACATTTTTTGAACACATTTTGTTAACGTTTATTTTTAGAATTTATTTTTTAGGACTGGAGTTGTGCATGAATGTTCTGTTATGTAGGGCCTTAAAGTCAGTTTTTATTTCATGTATTAAATGTCCACTTTTGTTATCTTTTCAGATTCGAGTGAATGGTGTTCCTCCGCCGTCAGAAAACGCTTTGCTGTACGAGACCGTGACCGTTGTGGAGGGAAGCCCCATCCTGAGGGACATGGTGTTCAGTCCAGACTATCAGTACATCTATCTGCTGAGCGACAAACAGGTGAGACTCACTGAGCGATTTGGTGTATGAGAAGCACTCGCATTTGATGAGGCGACTAGTACTTTTGCATCAGTGCAGCAAATTATGGGCCTCACTTGAAAGGGGTTTCAGTGTGAAATGGTTTGTGTTTTAGTTGTTCATTTGCTTGATGAATCTTGTTGTTTTCCGAGATGGCTTTGATGTCATTTGTATGTGAAGTTTATGCAAAAGATTTATTTTTTCCTTTTTTAGAATAGTCCTCATGTAAACATACAAAAACTCTTTTATTATTAGGGATTAGTTCATTTATAAATTAAACATTGTTCGTCTAAAGCTAAATGTGACTTAAAATATAAATATTTTTATATGACATAGAATAAATTGTTTAATTATTGCCTGCAGGTCATGGGTGAGATATATCAAATATGTAAAAAAATATATATTTAGATCACATAAAAAAATAAAATAAAAGTATAATAAATAACCTAACATAAAAATAACAATAATAAAAACTCTGTATGTATGTATGTATGTATGTATACAGTTAAAGTCAGATTTATTAGCCCCCTTTGAATCTTTATTTATTTATTTTTTATAATATTTGCCAAATTATGTTTATCAGAGCAAAGAAATTTTCCCAGTATGTCTGATAAAAATTTTTCTCCTGGAGAAAATCTTAGTTGTTTTATTTCAACTAGAATAAAAGCACTTTTTGAAATGCCTTTTTAAGGACAAAATTATCAGCCCCTATAGGCAATTTTTTTCGATAGTCTACAGAACAAACCATCGTTATACAATAACTTGCCTAATTAACCTAACCTGCCTAGTTTACCTAATTACCTTAGTTAAACCTTTAAATATCACTTTAAGCTGTATAGAAGTGTCTTAAAATATCTATTCAAATATTATTTAAATGTGTTAAAAAAAAATCTGCTCTGTGTTAAACAGAAAATGGGGAAAAAAATAAACAGGGGGGCTAATCATTCTGACTTCAACTATTTTTTTTGTATGTATGTGTGTGTGTTAGTGTGTGTGTGTGTGTGTGTAATGTAAGTATGTTTATATATACAGTGCATCCAAAAAGTATTCATAGCATATCACTTTTAGACATTTTTTATGTTACAGGCTTATTCCAATATGGATAAAATTCATTTATTTTCTTAAAATTCTAAACACAATATGTAATTTGTTTTTTAATTGTTGCAAATTAATAAAAATAAAAAAGCTGAAAAATCACATGTACTCGAGTATTCACAGCCTCTGCCCTGAAGCTCTAAATTGAGCATATGTACATTCTGTTTCCACTGATCAATCTTGAGATGTTTCAGCAGCTTAATTGGCGTTCTTCTGTGGTAAATTAGGTTGATTGGTCATGATTTGAAAAGACATACACCTGTCTATATAAGGTCCCAGGGTTGACAGTGCATGTCAAAGCACAAACCAAGCATGAAGACAAAGGAATCGTCTAGACTTCTAAGACAGGATTGGCTCAGGACACAAGCCTTGGGAAGGTTACAGAAAACTTTCTGCTGTTCTGAAAGTTCCAATGAGCCCAGTGGCCAAAAGGCATCTGAAGGACTCTCAGACCATAAGAAACAAAATTCTCTTGAAGCATGGTACAGTGAAGCATGGTGGTGGCAGCATCATGCTGTGGGGATGTTTTTCAGCAGCAGGAACTAGAAGACTAGTCAGGATAGAGGGAAAGATGAATGCAGCAATGTACAGAGACATCCTGAATGAAAACCTGCTTCAGAGTGCTCTTGACCTCAGACTGTGGCGACGGTTCATCTTCCAGCAGGACAATGACCCAAAGCACAACGCCAAAATATCAATGGAGTGGCTTCACAACAACTCAGTGAATGTCCTTGAGTGGCTCAGCCAGATCCCAGACCTAAATCCTATTGAACATTTCTGGAGAGATCTGAAAATGGCTGAAAACCGTCGCTTCCCATCCAGCCTGATAGAGTTTGAGAGGTACCGCAAAGAGGAATGGGCAAAAATTCCCAAAAACAGGTGTGCCAAGCTTGTGGCATCATATCCAAAAAGACTTGAGGCTGTATTTGCTGCCATAGGTGTATCAACAAAGTATCAAGCAAAGGCTGTGCATATTGATGTATGTGTGATTTTTCAGGTATTTATTTGTAAAAAAAAAAAAATGCAACAATTTAAAAAAATCTGATGTATAACATTTATTTATAATTTCTACACAAAAATGTTGCGGTTGGCATAAAATTGTAGTAAAATTTAATACAAATTTGTACTTTTAATTGGTGATCTCAAAAGTAAACAAAATATATATTTAAACATAAGTTGTACTCTGTCAGTGTTTATAATATCTGTTAATTTTTTTAATTATAGTGTTATATTTATTGGCCATGTGCTCTATTTTACGTTCTGTCACTGTTGTTCTTGATCTTTATGGCTCATGATTTGGTTGATTTGCTCTTCATTTCTTTCTACCGAAAACAATGACGGCATGCAGCGAGGCCAGAATAAAGGCACGTTTTGTGTCTTAAAAGAGTCGAAGCGGAATCTCAGATATGTTGTTTTAACATCTGCGAGGCAGGAAAAGTGAATGTGAAACGGCTCTGAATGGGAGCCCCAGCTGCTTGGCCCTAATAAGAAATAGTGGGGAAGCGTCTCAATCCAGAATAACAGCCCTTCCCATAATGCTCCATTATAGAGCCGGAGGAGAGGAAGGAGACATTGAAGTTCCTCAGACTCGTACAGTACAGCTGGAGCTTTTTCCTTCGCTCATTTATTTCTCTGGCAGAAAGAAATTTGTTGTCTTTGTGCGCGTTTTCAAAGAGGCCATTTTTTGCGTTTCCTTGAGAAAGACGCTGTTGAAATGACGCACGGAAAACATTGAAGAGAGATTCAGTTTCTAGAACAGCGATGTTTTTTTTATATCCTTATCAGTACGATTGAGAGAAAATAACCTGATCAGATGTGCTGTTTGCTGCAGGCGTGTGGAAGCAGGAATTAGCCATGCAGATTTGGTGGTATTAATTTCAGCGGCGGTTTGTTCCGCTTGACGCTCCAGCAGCTCAGTGATGCGTGCAATGACATCACCTCTGTGAGATCATGGAGATGTGTGGGTGTTTCTTCAACTGCTTGTTTTTAATTACTTTTTTTTTATTAATTGTGAGTAGTTGATTACTTTGTTTTGCCATTTTGTTGGTTATTTGAAAGTAATTTTTTAAGGGTTTTTAAGGCAGTTTAATGATGGATTTTATTGTGTTTGTCGATAGTTTGAATACATTTTTAGATTTTCAGTTTACATTTTAATATTTTTTTTTCATTATTTAATTTTTTAAAAAGTTTTTTAAATTTAATTCAATAGTTTTTCTTAAATATTCATTCATTGATTTATTTTCTTTTTGGCTTAGTCCCTTCATTCATCAGGAGTCGCTACAGCAGAATGAACCGCCAACTTATTCAGCATATGTTTTACACAGTGAATGCCCAACCAGCTGCATCCCAGTTCTGAGAAACATCAATACACACACACACACACACACACACACACACACACACACACACACACACACACACACACACACACACACACACACACACACACACAATACACACAATACACACAATACAGCCAATTTAGTTTATTCAGTTCATGCATAGCACATGTCTTTGGACTGTGGGGGAAAGAACACTGGGAGAACATGCAAACTCCACACAGAGATGCCAACTGACCCAGCCAAGACTCGAACCAGCGACCTTCTTGCTGTTGAGCAACAGTGCTTACCACTGAGCCACTGTCGCCCTTACTTAACTATAAAATAAATAAAAAAATTGCTTATTAGTCAACTACTTTATTTTTTCTTTTAACTTCATTTTAAGTTTCAATTTAAAAAATAAAGTAAAATAACAAGCAGGGTGGTGCAGTGGCGCAGTGGGTAGCGTTGTCTCCTAACAGCAAGAGGGTTGCTGGTTCCAGCCTCGGCTAGGCCAGTTGGCATTTCTGTGTGGAGTTTGCATGTTCTTTCTGTGTTCGCATAGATTTCCTCCAGTTGCTATGGTTTGGTGAATTGGGTAAGCTAAATTCTTCGCAGTGTATGTGTGTCAATGCAAGAGTGTATGGATGTTTCCCAGTTCTGGGTTGCAGCTGGCAGGGCATTCGATGCGTAAAACATATGCAGAATAAGTTGGCAGTTCATTCCGCTGTGGAAACCCCTGATGAATAAAGGGGCTAAGCCGAAAAGAAAGTGAATGAATGAATGACAAACAGTTTGAGTAATTAATAATAAATAAATATATATATTTTAATTGAGTATTTATTATTAATTATTCAATATTTTAATTATATGTTTTGATATTTTAAAGGTCATTTTAAAGGGGCTTTTAATGCATTTATAGATTTAATATTTGATAGTTAGTTTTATAAAATTTTTAGGCTTTCATTTTTCATTTTAATTTAGTTTTATTTATTTATTTTATCATTATTATCTAAACAAACACAATAAGCAATGTCATTATTATCTAGAGAACATAGTTTTTTTTTATTTAATTTTTACAAAAAACTATTATTTACTTATAATTCAAATAATATTTAATTATTTTTATATTTAATTTACATTTTTTGAAAGTATAACTTTTAGTTTTTTTTTCTTAATTATATTTTAATCAAATAAAAAAAGGCAGATTCATTACTAATAAAATAAAAAATGCAATATTTTTTACTTAATTATGAGAAATAAAAAAGTAGTAAAAGATCGACAGAAAATCGGCAAACTGCCATTTTAGCTCAAGTGGCAGTGTGCCAATTATCTTTTGATCTTTTGCTCCTTTGTCTATTTTTGATCCAGCACCTGCCTTTGGGATTTTTATATGTGCACAACTTTCAGTTTTGTTTGCTTTACAAATAAAAAAGAAAAAAACAAAATAAATAGTATTTGCTTATATTCAAATTGTATTTTATTATTAATTTTATTTTATTATGTAAAACGATAACAAGCAGTTTCAATAATTTTAATATATTAATTGAATATTTTTTCTTAAATCAG